GCTGGAAGATCCTAGTGACGTTGGCACTGGCATCTGGAGGCGACGCAGGAACCACCGTCTTCACCCGAATAGAACGCCCGGTCATTATTGCCATGTGTAGACTGAAAATTACCCCATATGCAGCAATAATGACCGGGCGTTTTTATTTGGGTGAAGATGGTAGGAGTGAGCAGCGCTGGTTCCAGGAGATATCAACTTGAAGTACGTCCTAGGGAGTGAAAACCAAGCTGCTTCAGCAATAAGGAGGAAGAAGATGTTTTGCTATAGAAGTTGGCAGACAATGATTGAGCTTATGAGAGCCTGCAGGCCTGATTTCTGATTGGCAGCTTCGAGGTTGTGGTTCCTGGGCACATGCAGTTCAATTATGTTGGGATGCTAGTGTAAGGAAAATGAGCGAGAGCGATAGACAGAAAACCAAATTGCAATATCACGTTGAAGACCAGGCAGTAATGTCCCAAGCAGAAATCACAATGCACTGAGATACAAGCCAAATAAGAGCAATACAATGAACTCAAATGTTACTGTCAGCCTCTTCTCGCCGCCATCAACAATGTACTCATTGTCGCCCTTCTTGATTGGCGCTCAGCGCCCAGCCTACCTCTACTCAGAACCTACTCTACCCTACACTACGACATGCAGCCAGGAATCACTTCCAGCCGAAGACCAATGTACGTGACGAAGTCGCCCATGCAGACTGCCACATACACCAGGTACGTGTCTCTTTCTCACCACCTGCTCACCCCCACAATGTGCACCTCCTACCCGAAGACCACCATCACCATCACCAGCAGATCCGCAAGCAGACCCGGCTATGGCCGCCCGCACCCACTGCCACCGCAGTGCCCTTACCACTCAAGCGCCTGTGAGCGCCCCAGCCTCCAGTGCTACGCAGCCAGCCAGACAGCACACGGTCCAGCAGCTGGCTGCAAGCAGCGCAAGGCCAGAATGAGCTCTGCTGGGCGAGGCACTTTCCTGAATGGAGACTGCAGCCCTGCTCGAGCTGCCTGGACCTGGAGGCCGTGTTCCCAGTATCTTGGCTCTGCGCCCAGGCCCGTTGCAGACAGTGGCCTGGGCCCGCAGCAGTTAAGCAGCCCAACTGTGCGACGTGGCCGGCGTCACATGCTGCATTCTGATTGGCCGAAAGGCCTCCAGCCACGTCGCTGCCTGGAAGAGCCCAGAGGCTCACAATGTCGTGATCACACTGGCGGGGCCTTGTAACCAACTGTGCGAGGTAACTGTCTGGCGCCCCCACATGCAGAAAAGACAAAAATAAGGCCTCAAGTGGAAATGCAGGCCTGCCTTCACTTAGGGCCGGCATGAGGCTTACTTGGGGCCCCGGTAGTGTTGGGCAAAATGGCTTTGCAAGGGCTCATTCCTCGCACTAGCAATTGTTGTTGGAGTAATTGCACTGAGGAGTTTGGGGCTGGTGGAGAGAAGGGGGAGATCACACACTTTCCTTATTTCTTCGCAGTTCCATCTTCTCCCTCTTGTTTGGGCTTTCGCATATGCGCTTGGGTTGAATCTCTCTCCATGTTTGTCTAGTTCTTGTGTGGGCATGAGTTTGCTGTGACGTCAATGACAACGCTACCGTAGTCTCATTGTGATGTCCACTGTGCCACCAAGGCAGCTATACTGGGCGGTTGTGTTTTCTGTAATGCACCTTGTTCTTTAAACCGCCAGTACCTTTCCCCGCTTGAAAATAGAAGTCACGCCGGTATATTCGGAAGCCAAGCGGGGAAGGACCGCCGTTGTTCGTTTCAAGCCTCTGAAACTGCCCACGGCTAATATATGGGAAAGTTACTGGTGGTTTAATTCTGGCCTGTAGTCATCCTATTGATGGAAGTAGCCACTCTCTATCTCTCTGCGTGTAT